CCCTTTCCCACTTAAATATCATGCTTTTGTATGTCACAAAGTCTAGAACTGTGACATGCGCCTAATCCACACATCCCCCACTGTGTTCTTAGTTCTTACCACTAGACCAAAGCCATGGGACATAGATTTCCTTTGAAATATAAGTTAAGGAAACTCCTTTTACATAATAGATGTCACTTTGGTTGTCAACATCATCTATTCACTCTTTGACACTTTTCATCTCTATCCTGCAAATAATTCTGATGGGTCACTACTTGAGCATATATTCCTACGAGGTAGCCAGCAGGTACATAATCCTACTCGTCATCATAATTACCAGTCTTTACTAATCTATGAGATGAGAAAATGCAAAAGTGTGAATCTGCTCACATTTCATTAGTGGAATCATAGTTACTGTCCCTAACCATTCTATTCCACCATGTAAGTTGATATTACCAATAATTTAATCCTCCATACAGAAAGCTATTGATACATAAATAGGTACAAAATAATAATAACCGGCTACGTTTGAAGTGATGTTTATTGACATGTCTAGTGGAGGAAATTACACGGTTCACTCGTTAAAATATGGTGCTTGAATAACAAGTGGCTAAATTAGATACAAACCTCAGGTGCCATCCACCGGTATGTCCCAGTTTCTGCCGTCATCATCTCAGTGAGGGTCTCTTCCCTAGCTAGCCCAAAATCTGCAAGCTTCACAGACTTCTGATTGGCCGTGAGCAACAAATTGTCTGCATAAATGACATTTCCAGATGTGCACTTTCTTAGACAGGAAACGATCAAAAAAAAAAAGAAAAAAAAAACCACACTAAAACATGAAATAGGAATGGTAATAAGAGACTGATGCCAACTTAAGAATAAAACTCCAAGTTAGGAGCATAAACTGACCCATACATCAACTAAGAATGAGTGTTCTATCCACTTTTGGCTTCCCTAGATATTGAGATTCTTTTTATAAAAAGAAGAAAGAATTGAGATGGCAAGCAATGAAGTGAAATATATACCACAATGTCTGCACTAATAACTTCTTCCTTCAATGGTACTTAGATTACTGACCATAGAAGAGCCAACATAAAATGATAAGATAACCCAGAAAAAGAACTATCCAGCAGTAAAATATTGATGGATAAAATAATATAGTCCAAAACCATAATATTTGGCCTGTTTAACATTTCAATGGATAACTACAATAACAAAAAGAAAAAAGAAAAAAGTCTTGTACAGCTCGGCTAGCCAAGTGGTACCAGGTTTTAGATCTCTATGTATAATGCCATTGGCATGTAAACATTCCATGGCCCGAGCAATGTCAAGCGCATAACTTAAGGCGACATGAAGATCAAGCACTTCTGGACGAATGCTGACTAAGTACTTCCGAAGGGACATTCCAGGAAGCAGCTCTGTCACTATAACCATCAAAGGATCCTTGCAAGCTCCAATAAACTGCAAAGAAATCAGAATTTACTAGCTAACACCATAGGGCTTGCTAAACTTAACAAAAGAAAGCTGCTCAAGGGAAGTTAAAAGCAGCACTTTGAAAAGATAATCAGAATAGTATTATTTCAGAGTCTAATGAAGTCGGAAGAGAAAGAAAAATGATACGGGGTACTTACTTTTACAAGATTCTCATGTTTTACTCTTGACATCATAACAACTTCCCGAACAAAACGGCTTCCAAGTGAAGCTCTTTCTTCCGAGGTTTTACCGCCATTTAGAACTTTTATCGCAACAATTTGATCACCATACCTGGAGAGACATGAAGCATTTTTTCCGATAAATGAAAAATGTACAATAAAGCCAGACAGCAGATAATCCAAAATATAGCAAAAAGCACAAATATTTTCGATCTTCCTATTGTTTAAATGACAGAAATTGTTGCGTTTGACTGCCTCTCAAGACAAAAAATGAAAATAGCCAAACTAGAAAAAACACAAGAAGAAAATAGTTACTCTCAGTTACTATATAAGACTCAACGAATATATCAATTTCAAATGGCAAGCAAACTCTCATGTTATATTTTCTGACTAAGATAGCATTTACCTAACTAGTAAACCAATGGAACAGTAACACTGGCCAATCACCTAAAATAAAATCCACAAGTTACAGCATCACAATTTTCAAGTAACTGGCAGAACAACAATGATGATCAGCACTACATTAAAAAAAATTATGGGTAATATTGCGCGAAAGGCGTTACATACCTTCCTTCATAAACTTTTCCATGAGCCCCCTCACCAATTTTGGTTCCAATAAAGAGTTGTTTTGGATCCACCAACACTCTCTCATCAATAGATAATTGATTTGAGGGTACTACTGATGATCCATTTCGTGATACGCCTTCAACGTATTTCTGTACACTACCAACAGGAGTTTCTTCCTCTTCTCTTTCTCTACTCTTCTCACTGCAACTCATGGTTGCAAAATTCTCAATCAGATTATCCCTGAATGCCTCATCCTCAACTCAACCCTTTGATCCTACAAATTACTTGCAAATAACAACTCTGCCCCCATCACTCAAAAAGTCAATACTATCTTCTCATGTTACAATATGAATATTTGATCCTAGCAAACACTTGAACCCTCATAAGCAACGCTTCTTCCTTTAACTTCCTAATAAAAGTAGAAGAATTTAAAACCAAAATATGCCTCCAAAACTTCAAACACCCAAAAGATCTAAAAATCAAGAATCACATAAAAAGATAACCCCTTTTCTTGAAAAAGAAAAAAGAAGGACTTGATTTTTAAACTAAAATCAAGAAACTAGCAGTCTTTGGACAGTGTGCAGATTAAAACAACCCCCAAAAAAACTAAAAGCAAGAACCTTCAAAGGAAGCAACAAGAGGAAGCTTAAAAAAGAAACTTATAATAAAAAAATATGTATACTATCAATACAAATTTCATGCATAGATAAGGACCTAACAAGCAACTCTAAACGACCCCTATAAAGTCTTGTAACTTTACTCTTTCGTTTTTTGTCTTTGGTTCCCCGTTTTCGGGGTGGGGGGGTAGGGGTGGGTTTGAAAAGGGGGGTGGTGGGTTAACTTTGTTTTTGTACTACAAGCTCTTATCTACAATTGAAATGGCGTTCCTGTGAAGATATTCTGGGATAGACTATTTTCCGGTGAGTGTGGGGTATAAAGTGAAGAGAGAGAAAAGTTGGGGAATAAATGTGAATATATTAAAAAGAAAGCACGTTTAAAGTGCACCAAATGCGAATTAGACACGTGGAGAGCACTGAGAACACTTTGGAATATTATTAGCATTAAGACATTAGAGGATATGGACATTGTTAGTTGAGGATGCTTTGGACAAAGCTATTGTGAATGAAGACAAGAGACCTTTCTTTCTCTCTTGACTAACTAATTGGCTTTTTGTGATGTGCAATTCTATTTTTTTTTTTTTTTGTGTTTGATATTTATATTTTGTGTCCCACTTAATTTGGATCATAAGACTTATTAGAAAGGGATACGTTTTCTGTCGGAATTTTTTTTTATTCGTAAAATTTGAACTCAAGACCTTTGATTAAGTGTTAATAATGTGAAATAATTATTTCTAAATTCTCTTTAATTCCAGCAATATAAAAAACTAGTAGTAACTTGAAGAATTTTAGTGTATATATATATTACTCACCTGTTCCAAAAAGAATAACATTATTTTCTTATTAATTTATTTCAAAAATAATAATATCTTTCTAAATTTAAAATAATTTAACGTGAACTTCATATTTTACCTTTAATGACAAACCTTTATAGCCATAAAAAATATTATGTCATATTTATGATCAAAAGTTTCAGAAATCTTAAAGTATTATCGGATACAAAAGTTTTTTTCCCCTTAAACTTCGTGTCAAGTTAAACTATGTCATATAAATTGAAACAGATCTTTATATTGGTTCATAAAAATTTCAAGTAAAATTTTGTATAAAAGTGACATATCTTAGGGTTAATTTGACAACAATATGAGGTGTTGTAATTTCAACAAACTTGAAAGTTTAGGTTAAATTGTGATAAAAGATTTTCAATTTAACATAGCTTTATATATAGATACAATCTATCTTAGCTCAAAAGAAAGGACAATTAAAGTTGTAACGTCCCAGCCGATCGTTTTGAAAATTAAAGTCCTGTTCGGCGGCATAAGGTCTTGAAAAGCTTTGTATTATATGTTATGACTTGCGTGCGTAGTCGAGTTCAGTTACCGGATGATTTAGAGTCAATTGGAAGAAAGATTCTAGTTTTGGAAGCTTAAGCGGTAAGGGTTGACCGGAATTTGACTTTTGTGTAAAAGACTCCGGAATAGGGTTTTGATGATTTCAACAGCTTCGTATGGTGATTTTGGACTTACGCGTGCGTCCGGGTTTGCATTTGGAGGTCCGTAGGGTAATTTGAAGCATTTCGGCGAAAGTTGGAAAAGTTGAAGTTTTGGAAAGTTGAGATGTTTGACCAAGAGTTGACTTTGGTGATATCGGGGTCGGAATGAGATTCCAATAATTGGAACAGCTCCGTTATGTCATTTCGGACTTGCTTGCAAAATTTGACGTCATTCCGGGTTGATTTGATAGATTTCGGCTCGAGTTTTGGAAGTTGGAAGATTTGGAAGTTCATAAGTTCGATTCATAGTGCGATTCGTAGTTTCGACGTTGTTTGATGTGATTTGAGACCTCGATCGGGTCCATATTAGGGTATGGAACTTGTTAGTATGCTGGGACGGGGGTCCTGGGGGCCCCAGGTGTGTTTCGGATGAGTTTCAGATGGTTTTCATGGTTGTGAACATGTCTGGTTCTGGTGCTTCGCACCTGCGACATCTTGGAGCGCAGGTGCGGCTCTGCTTCTGCGTTAGCCTGGTCGCTTCTGCGGTCATAGTGGCCTGGGAGCTCGCTCATTTCTGCGGAGGCTGGCACGCAGGTGCGAAGGCCGCTTTTGCGGTCCAGCGATCGCACCTGCGAAGCAGTTCGCTTCTGCGCTCCTTTTGGCGCTTCTGCGAGGTCGCTGGTGCGACTATAATTCCGCAGATGCGGATCCAGGCCTGGCTAGTTGAGTTTGCATATGCCAACGTTTTCTCGCAAATGTGAGAGTGCAGATGCGCTTCTGTGTACGCAAATGCGGAAGTTCTGGGCAGAATCATATAAATCGAGGGTTTGGCCATTTTCACCATATTTTGAGTTGTAGAACTCGGTTTTGGAAGATATTTCTTGGGGTTTTCAAGCCAATTATTGGGGTAAGTGTTCTTCACCTAGAATTTATTATATTCCATGATTCTATCTTTAATTTCATCTTATAATTTGTGTTTTGAGTTGAGGAAAAATGGGAATTTTGAAGAAAACTTTCAAAATGTAAAATGATGATTTGAGGGACGAAATGGTATCGGAATTTGATAATTTTGGTATGGTTGAACTCGTATCGGAATGGGTATTCGGGTTTTGTGAAATTTGTCGGGTTCCAAGGTGCGGGCCCGAGGGTCGACCTTTGGGTTGATTTTAGTTTTTGATAAAGATTGAAGCTTTATTATCCGGAATAGTTTCTTATGAGTTTTATTTGTGCTTTGAAGTTATTTTGGCTAGATTTGAACCGTCTGGAGGTTATTTCACTCGAGAGGTTCATTTTAGAGTGATGGTCTATCTTCTGTGAAGTAAGTATCTTGCCTAACTTCGTGTGGGGAACTACTCCTTAGGATTTGAGTCTTTTATGCTAATTGTATCATGTAAAATCCATGTACGCGAGGTGACGAGTACGTGCTCGGGCTTATTTGTGGAAAATTGACCTTTTAGGGCTCTTAGGCCCTTATGTTCATTGAATATGAAGTTGTTTTTGTTATGATTAAGTTTCACCTCCACATATTTTAATTGGAAGTAATTGCTTCATGATCCACTCTTATTGCCTATTTGACTCTTATATGACTTAACTGAAGTTGTTACCTCTTCTATTTCCATGTTATCCCTTCCTAATCGCTTCTCCTTAATTGAAAGTATAATTATCTTTTCTATAATTGTTCATCCTTAATTGAAGTAATGATTATCTTTCTGATGCTTACCCTTAATTGAATTTGTTGTATCTCTTTCATAATTGCTCAACCTTAAAAGAAGTTTAGATGTCCTATATCTTAGTTGACTTCTCCTTATTTGGAATTATTGACTCGTGTTATCTCCCTTGTTGTTGAACTGTACTGTGGGGATCATTGTTACATGTTATTTCTCCTTTGTTGAGCTATTCTTATTATGACTAGTATTCTCGATTGTGTTTATTCTTTGTGAACTAGTTCTACCGTGTCTCTGTGATCAAAAGCTCTTGAATTGATTTACTTGCCGTACTCTTGTGTTATTGTCATTGTTGTTGTTGTACTAAGTGTTGTGATGCACGAGGTTTCTGCCGTGCGGTTGTTATTGTGATGCACGAGGTTTCTGCCGTGCCATTGTTATTGTGATGCACGAGGTCTCTACCGTACAGTTGTGGTTGTGTTGCACGAGGTCTCTGCCGTGCTATTGTTACTATTGATATGTGCACATGCGGCGCGACAAGGCGGGCATTTACTTTATTATTGCGCACGTGGCGAGACAATGTGGGCTATGTCAGGAATTTATTTGTGATGACTTGTGACGGCCTGGGGGAATTCTTGTTGTTGATATTTGTGTAGTGGCGCACCTACCTGTGTAAGTTTTATCTTGTGAAAAAAAATTGTGGCAAAAAATATTCTTACGTGCTGTCTATTTTCTCTATACTTACTAGCTGGCATGAACTATGTTAGAACACTGGCACAAGCATAGACGTAGTTAATCACTCCTATCGGTTTAAGAGTATGGATTCTAATATTGTTGAGTATTGATGCACACCCTTGTCCATTTGCCTTCTATATGAGAACAATTCTATTGGCACATGAGTCGTCCGTGCAACTATCAATTGAAATGAGGGTACAAGATGCCAAGTGTTTAGGGTTTATAAAGTGGGACCCGTGACTTGTGAATATTTTGAGGTTTGGTACCTCGTGGAGGTTATTGGGTAAATCTGGTGTGAAAACGGTTATTCTTGTCGAGTTGCTACTTGTCCTTCTTTTATTTGTTTTCATCGGATTTAGACTGTGATGAGCTTACTCTACTGTGTTATTACTTGTTGTGCTCCGCTGCTAATTGTTACTTTTGTTTCTCATTGAAAGCACTGTATCATTATTGTCATTATGTGTAGTTTTGTAGAGATATCATACTCTGTTAGTTCTCCACTTATACTTGTTCAAGTTATCTAGTCAAGTAGGTGTCTCGACTGTCCCTCGTTACTACTCCACTAAGGTTAGTCTTGATACTTACTGGGTACCGCTACGGTGTACTCATACTGCGCTTCTGCACAATTCTTGTGCAGATCTAGGTATTTCGAAGTCAGTCGATCGTTAGCTAGCTGTGCGGATTCCTACTGGGGAGACTCAAGGTAAACCTGCTGCTGCGTTAGCACTTTTCGGAGTCACCTTCTGATGTTATTTTTTCATTGTTTATCCTTACTTCGGAACAGTTGTATTTAGAGGTTTCTAGCAAAAACTCTGTAGAGCTTATGACTTGTACTACCGGTTTTTGGGATTGTAAACTTTGTATCGAGATTTCTTCTTCGCATTTGTCAACTGTTATTTATTATTGTTATTATTTCAGCAAATGTTAGGTTTACCTAGTCCGTAAAACTAGGTGCCATCACGACCTCCTATGGAGGGAGATTTGGGTCGTGACAAAAGTCTTGCTAGTATTCTAATAAAGAAACAAAGAAATTATTTGAGAAAGGTTATTCCATGCATGATATGTTAAGTTGAATGATAAAAGTCTCGTTTAGTCAAAAATGCTCCCTTTGACAATAAAATAACCAAATAG